TGGATACCAAGGATCCAAAGTACGGGAAGTGGTCGCCCAATTGGGAAGGACCATACAAAATAAACAGTGTGTTGCCTAATGGAGCATACCACTTAGAAGATTTAGACGGCACCAAGCACGTAAGATTCATTAATGGCAAATATTTGAAAAAATATGTTCCTTCTTTATGAGAATGTGAACAGATAAAAACATAATCAATCATTCTGGACGATCAAAAGATAATAAAGACAAAGCGAAATACGTTCGAATAAAGTTCTTTACTATTAAACGTTCATTACAAGAATACAAAAGATACAAATGATGGACGTGCTACAAAATACAACTAAAGTATCTCCTGGTTGATCGCTGAGTAAGTTTCACACCGCCTTCCTAAATGCATCGCTACGATGGTAGGATTGACGAGTAAGAGGGTGTACTGGCCCCACCACCTTCCTAAATGCATCGCTGTAATGGCGAGACTGAGAAACACTCTCAGCAGGCAAGCTGAGAAGCAAGTGGCCCACATGCAGCCCAAAAATTGCCTCCCATCATTGACTCCTTGTGAAGAACAAAGAGACGACGGGAAGAATTTTGCAGGAAAAAACTTCGCTGCTGGTCAGAAAATATTTCCTATACCTCCCATACCAAAGGTGACATCAAGGTAAATATAAGGCGGACGGACTAGACAGTCTATTTTTGGATCTAGTTGATCGTCAGAATGCCAAAAAATGGCAGCAAATTGGTTTCGAAGAAGAAAATGAAGAGATGAAGATAGAGGGTGAATAATGCGAAACATTTATGGGGGGTGAAGATGAAGGGACAGAATATGAACAACCACATTTCTGTTTAATGGACGGAATTAAATGGCCCTAAGTCTTGGGAACAGTAGTGGGAATATCAAAAGGGAGCAGACAAGATTCTTAGTGCAAAGCAGTTAAGTGATTAAAGAATTGATGATTAGAAAATAAACGTCAAATTAATGCACAAAAAGTTAATGTTCATTAATAATGAACAAAAATTACAAAAGAGAAAAAGACATCGTATATCTTAATTACAGTCTACCCCATAAGGAACGAATTCGTTCCCTAAGTTTTTCTCAATCCTCGTTCTGCCGGGAGGAAGTGATATTCAATTCAGCCACAACGTCATCATCATCAACCTCCAACTTCTTGTACTGTTCGACCAAAGATTTAGTTCGCTCAATCCCCTGAGAGGCGTTACGCTTCTTAGCAGCTATCCTCGCCCTGCAATCGTCCATTTTGGGTTGAAGTTCCCTCATCTGAGCAGCCAAGTTAACCATCAAAGAGTCTTCAATCATGACTTCGGAAGAGATTTCTTTCAACTCGTCCTTAGCCTTGTTGATCTCCATGCGTAAAGATTCTTTCTCAGCTACAGCTCGAAGATATTGAGTACGCTTGGCCGTTAGTTCAGCATTCTTGGCTAGCATAGAAAGGACCTCGGAGTGAATGACTTTCAACGTCGCTTTAAAGTCGGCAGAAAGATTGAGCGACGGAAGCGTCAGTGCTTGCTCTAACTTCGCACTCAAGTGCTCAAGTTCATCCTTGTGTCTGGCAGCACTAGCCCTTCCAATGTCCATATCCATGAAGGATA